AGTTCTCACCCTTTCGAGGCTCACGCAAGGGCTGCAGGAAAACCACTCCTGGCTGCCAACAGCCACGGCGAGGGAACAGCACACACAGGGACAGCATGGACCCGCTCCTGTACCCCTCAGGGAGGCTCAAGGAGCTTTGGCCCACAACCTTCCCACCCGCTTCAGCTCAGACCTGGCTGCAAGTGGTCTGTGATAAGCAAGGTCCTCATCCTCAGACGGGAAGAGGTCACATAGTGCCTTGTATCATTAGATGATTTACACACTTCTGAACCCTACACAACCGCAAAAGCAAGGTGGGTTCCCACTGGTTTGATCCGATCCTCCTGGAACCTCTACGAGGACAAAAAGAAGACCTTGTGTTCTGCGGTGAGACAAGAGAAATGTCTTCTGGAGCTGAGTGCAAAAAAGAGGTGCATCCTCACAACAGAGGAAACTCTTTGAAATGTCTTCTGGAGCTGAGTGCAAGAAGAGAGGTGCATCCTCACAACAGAGGAAACTCTTCCTGTCTCATTGTGTGACTTAAGACCCAGGAACGGAGACAGAACATTGGAAGAAACCCTGGGCGTTCCTTGGGATTCAGCAACCAGAACAGGGCTCAGAGGTCTCTCTTCACTGGTGCCAAGGCCGTCCAGCAGGCATGAACACAGTGCTGTACTGTGGAGCTGCCCGATCCATGGCTTGCTGGGATTTACACCCCGTATTTATACCACACCAGTCCTGCTCACTGAGGAAATTTTTCTACTACTAAAGGAAAAAACATACCAGTAAAGAGTGAACCTGAGCTTTCCCCAGCAACAAAGGCTGATCTTAAAGTAAGCTTAAAATTGACAGGTATGGCTGCCTGACACAGAGCAAGACGCTGGGAACTATTTGAGTTCTTGGCTTTACAATGGCATGGGAAGAGCTCCAGAGCTTGAAAGGACAAAAAAATGAAGTCAAATGCATGGTGTAAGCTTAACACTTCTGAAGGAATGACTTGTACTGAAGTCATCAAGGATTCCATCTGATGAATTCCATCAGGGATTTCTTTCCCCATCTCTAACCTATACCCCTGGAGGTGCCATGCATTCAGTCAAGATGAAAGCTGACATCCAGGCATCAACTTTTCAAATGGTAGTCTAATGGAGAAGAAACAAAGACTTACAGTCTTGCTCGCCCAGATCCTTGATGTTCTGATAAAAACAGTGAATAAATCTATATTCTTGCTTACAAACCAGTGGCACAAAGCCACCAAAACCAAACCAAACTTTGAGCACTGATGGACAAATGGAATAAGATACTTAAATTTGACACAATGAGACACAAGTAATACGCAACTCTTGACAAGTCCATGTAAAGAGAGTCAGGTTACTACTGGTACGTAATCCTCACTGACCAGTTTCAGAAGTAAATAGGCAGGTATCTTTGCAGACATTCTCACTGGATTGGATTTCTAGCAGCTAAGGGTCTGAAGGTAGAGGTAGCATAGTAGCTATGTCAGACCCTACCCAATACTCAACCGCAGTAACATAAATTCAATGTTTCAGCAGTATTTATTAGTTCTGTATGTCTTTGATAAGTATTAGCTGCTAAATCCTATACTCTTCAGCTTCCTTAACATTTATATCAGAGCCTGTGACTGTGGTGTGATTTAAGCACTATAAATATAATAATTAAACAAGAACAGTAGTGTGGATTATTTGGAACTCCTTCATTAATTAGACCAAAGTTTGTTGATCAAAGTTTGAAGTCCGTTTCAAAAGGACACCGCTTTAAAGCAAAACACTTATCTTTTCATATGAGCTCAAGGTTGCTCAACAGACATACACTGAAATGGAAGAAAAAAAGACCAACTAATTTTATCTGCTTTTAGCTCCTAAAAGTCAGTCCTGCAAATAAAGCCAATCAGGTAAGATTCAAGCAATCAGCATCACAACATTCTTCCAGAGTAGGGAAAAATATCAGTAACTTCGGTATTTTGGCTTCTAGGAGTCATAATAAAGCCTGCTGGTATCCTGGGCTCTCTCATTTGGAACACTAAGATGCCAGCCCCGGAGCAACGGCTACCTTGGAAAGGCAAAAGCCCCTGTTTATATTGTTGAGCATGATGTCACGTGGCATAGGATATCCGCTTGGTCAGTCGGGGTTAGCTGTCCCAGCTGCGTCCCCTCCCAACCTCATCCTACCCATTCGAAGGAGTGAGAACAGAATGGGAGTGAGGGAAGGCCTTGACGCTGTGCGAGCGCTGCTCTGCGACAGGTACAGCATTGCTGCGTGACCAACACTGTCACAAATCCAAAACACAGCACCATAGCGGCAGCCATGAAGAAAGGTAATTCCATCACAGCCAGACTCAGTACAAGGACACACGACGCAATATCCGTTTCAGAGGATTCAGCACTGAAAAGATTTTGGAGACTTTTGATGCAAAACACATACCTGAAGCAACAATGCTGCTGAGTGTTAGACAAAATAAAACTGCATCGAGCAGTTACAGGGCAACTTTAGGTACTAGGAGTTTTAAGAGGTTTTGACTGGGTTCAGCTGGCCGACTGAAAGAGGACTTCTTCCACACTCCCTCTGCATTTTGGAAAGTAAACATTTGCAAGGAGCTTCAAAGCACTTTCATGCTTTTCTTCCTGAAGCTGCTGTGAAAAGAAGAAATAATACAAGCATTATAAACAACTGAGTTACTTTATGTAACTGCACTTCTAGGACACTGTATGAAGCCAGTGCTGGATATGGTGTGTTAAACTGAATGATTATCAAAGCCTGACAGCTGAATGTCCTCCCCGCAATTATCTTCTCTGGCCTCAGAAATTGCCCTAAATATCAGGGAGCTTATGGAATCTAATCGGTTCAGAGTGGGATATGAAACTTGCTCTTGGCACCTTCTCTGGAGCAAAACACCCTGACAAGCACAGCCTTTTTTCCTAACAATATCTGTTGGATTCTTCCAGTACAACTGCAACTGTTCTTGGTGACTGCCACTACTTTAAGCCCTTCCACTCTTGGCAATAACACTGCATCCATAGCTTGATGACATCCTGAAAGCAGCACTATGAACTAGCATCTCCTCAGTTATTTACATAATACATCATCAAGACCCCCACCCAATGTACCAATTCCAGTGGAAATCCACAGTAGAAAACATTGTGCAGAAATAGTAGTTAGAATCTCATCCTGAGCTCCAAGACACGGGTGCTCACAGCTATTAGTTAAACTTCTCACGTAACTGCAGATAGAATACACTTTTTATAAAAAAAGTGGTGTTACCATGGACAGTGTGTCAGTATTTAAGAGCAGGCTAATCAGAACTGCATGCATTTACAAGCAGGCATGCCAGCAGCCTTAACAAATACTTGCAACCAACATTACATTGGATTTTAGCTAAATCGTTACCTATCTTCAGGTAGATAGGCTGCCCACACTTCCACGAAGACAGTAGAAAAATGAACTCTCCGCAGAAAGCAACTGCTCAGAATTCAAGAGACTGGTGGTGTTGAGATGATTAGGTAAATCAGCCTAGCTCTCAGCCCCCAAGACAGCGGTGCAACTCGCAACAGAAGTCACAAAAACTTGAGAAGTAACATAATTAACTGGAAATCTTTAAAAACATGAAATGCCAGGAAGATAAAAGAACATCTGCCTTTTCTTTCCACAGCTAGTAACTACAAAGATTTCAGTAGCATGGTCTAGTAAGAAACAAACCCCACACGGATTCACTGAAAGCAATGCAGATGAACTCAGCCAGCCAGGGATCCAGCTGAGCTGCAGCACCAAAGTGGTCCTCAGGCACTCCCAGAAGGCGATGCAGTTGGATTTGGTGCATCAGTGTGAGATGGTATCTGAAGGCTGTAGATAAAGAGCACACGTCCTGCTGACTGACATAGCTGTACATAACAGGACCATCAAGAAGCGTGGCTGAGCTTCATTATTCAAATGCGTGGAGTGACTTTTTCAACAGAGGGTTTCTCATACAAGACTTCTGCATATTTTAATATACCGACATACGAAAACAGCAACTTCAGTTCACTGGAAACAGTTTTCTTTTTAATTTTACCATAAAAAGGCAAAATAAACTCTTTCACTGTAATGTTATAGCTTTTAATATTCCTGAGCTGCATTTTAGAAGCAAAAGTATGCTTAAATGAATTTAACAAGAGACACTGCAGCCTTACTTTCCAACACCACAAGTAAAAATAATTTAGCAAGAAGGCCCCTTTTTCAAAAGACAATGGCTAGCTCTGTATGTACCTGAAAAAATGCTTCAAGTGGCTCTACACCACCTGAAGTAATTACAAAGCCAAATACGTCAACGAAGTAACAGAACAACTTTTCAACCATTTTACCACTGCTTCTTCCTTCCTACATCAGTGTGCCTCTCTTACATAGAAAGTATTATTACACAAACGGCATTACATGCCAGAATAATTTGGGCCAAAGCTTGGCACCATACAGACATACGGAGGAATCATAGCAGTTTAAAAAATATCCTGCATATCTTTATAGTCGGCTTTAAGAACTATATGAAAGTCCTGCTATCCATCTCAATCAGCAAAACCTCTACTTTCTTAAACATGATTTCATTGAATGCAACAGAAAACATTTTAAAATCAAACCTGTCTGTAATAGCTTGTCTGGAGTTCCTACAACTGGCACCCACGTACTTCTCAGGCCAAATTAGATGATACAGAGATAAAAACTAAACCACCTAAAATTAAGGTTTAGAAAACTGAAAATCAAGAAGACAGGTTGGCTTTTAGCATGTAGGAACTCGAGCACAAGCACAGGTGGCAATACCTACATTGTGGTAGAAACCTAGAAAGAGAGAACAAAGCACGAAGGAACGTCAAAAAAAAAATCAGGCGTCCGTTTTCTTGATTTCAGGGACTAGATGCAAGTCAAGCATTGGTTGGAACAAACGCTTTTTCTGTAGCAGTCACACCGATGAGGTCCCGTGTACAACTTTCTGAGCTTTTTTGTCCAGTTACAGCTTTTCCAAGGAGCCAAGGCCTCCACTACCCACTCCAAGTACTCCTTTGCTTACTCAGTGATCTCCTGCGGTGCCTTCGTCTCCTGCTCACGCTTCTGCGACTATGACTTCTTTCCCTTCGGTCTCGTTTACGTTCGCTACTGCGAGTTCTTCTGTAACGTGAACGTCTGGGGCTGACACTTCTTCGACGAGGACTATGACTTCGTCGAGGACTGTAACTTCTGCTAGAGTGTCTATAATACCTCCTGTCTTTCCTGCGCTTTTCATCCTGGTAACTCACATCTCTCCTGTGTCTGCTCCTCTCTCGTTTACCCTTACTCTCATCAGTGTTAATGCTGCTACACGAACGGCTCTTTCTTCTCCTTGGCTCTGTGCTGCGTTTGCCCTGCTCACAGTGCGAGTCCTTCCTGCAGGTATTCTGGTCACAGCTAGAGAGGTTCTTCTGCTGCTGGTTGTTGGCGGGAGCACACGGAAGTACCCCTGAACTTCTTTTCTCAGCGCACCTATCGGCATTCGCGGTGTGAAGTTTCTGACCTTCTTTGACATGAACTTTGTCATGAATGTTGCCGTTCAAGTACTTGCATTGAGCGGTTACGGTCTCAGGGGATGCTACTTCTCTTTGAGAGCCGGGAGCCAGTTTGCCTGGAACGGCCTGTCCTGAGGTAGAAGTGATGCAGCTGGATGACACAGTGTGTGGAACACCACTGGGGGTTTTCGGCCTGTCAGACTGAGATGCTTCGGTTTCTTCTTTGTTTTGATTAACTGCATCCATTTTCTTACTCAGAAGATTGTTCAGTAGTTTCTCCCTCAGTTCCTTTTCTTTTCTCTGCAATCCCAGCGCTCTCTCTTTTTCCTCTTCCACACGTTTGAGCTCAGCCTCCTGGAGCCTTCGTCTCTCCTCTAGCTGCTGAAGACGAATCTTTTCTTCATTACGTTCTTGCTCCAAAAGCTTTACTGTCTGAAAGATAGTCAAAGGGAAGAGTAAACAAACAAACAAAAATACTTACAGACTTGCTTATGCTTCCAGGTCTTACCATAACACAGAAGCAGCAATACAGCAACAAAATAAAATCTGACAAACAGAAATTAACCATCCCAAAATAAAACGATTGTTTCCCTCAAAGGGAAAAAAACCCCAAACCAATCAAACAAAAAACCCCACTAACACACAACTGTTGTCAGGTGAAACATTAGTACTAGTCCACAAACTCTTTTAAGTGTTAATTTCTCCTATCTGTTTCACAAGGCAAAACCAAAGCTTGCTCTTTATGGCTCCTTAATATGACAAAAGCAACACACAAGCTAGAACCACATGTGAAACGATGTACTAGAAAACACACTTATCAGGGTCAACACCTGAGGGTCGCACGTCAGATCTAAAATATGAATTTCTCTTAGATGATTGCAATCTATCGTTCATAGACGACTTTAGAATGAGTCCATAAAAAACAACCAATAATTAAACACACACATATTACACAGAAACTGATTCTCATGGTCAACCACTTTAGAAACTCGCGATACTGAAAAAGAAGGGTTGGTTGTTTTTTTTTAATCCTGATCCAGACAAACATTTTAGTGTAGACCTCAAAATTCTGCGAGTGAAAGAAACACGTTGCTTTATTTTATCAGACAATCTCTCTGTCTCACAGCTGTGAAGTTACAAAGCCTGCAAGAAGTATTTCTCCCTTCTCCTAGCACATAACTGACTACATCGCACTGTATGAGACCAAAAACACTCCTGAGGTACACTGGCATCAAGGAAAAAAACCCTGTGCTTTGCCACACAGGTTTTCATTTCTACAGAAAATACTTAACGCACATTACATTACACCCTGACACGACTTTATCCAAGTCTTAAGCAAATGATACCCTGTTTCAGTAAAAAATTACAGTACTGTTAGAGAGACAGGTTCTAACATTTGAAACCTCAGCAGACAGCACTTTTCCTACAGAAAAATCATTCCGCACATTTTTAAACATCGAATAATGAAAGCTCACTCTCTGAAACTGCAAAGAACAGTTAATGAAACTGCTGAAAGCCACACAGGCAACAGCATCAAAACTGGAATCAGAATCATAGAATAATTTTGGTTGGAAAAGACCTTTAAGATCATCAGGTCCAACCATTATCCTAACACTACCAAGCCCACCACTAAACCATGTCCCTAAGCACCACATCTACACGTCTTTTGAACACCCCCAGGGATGGTGACTCCACCACCTTCCGGGGCAGCCTGTTCCAATGCCTAACCACCTTTTCAGAAAGAAATTAGAAATAAGGAGTCTTGCATACTATCATCTCTGCTTAGTTCACTTTATCATGCTTACACATTCTTTTACTGGACTTGAGAGCAAGCCTGCTAATTAGTCTACAGGTAAAAAATGCCATTTAGGACTACAGGTTCAAGTTCACTCTTACATTTACCCATAAGAGAAATACTGTTCCATGGCACTTTTTTGAATTTTTGGTCTAATGCATAGCATCTGGAGAGGTACTACATATGTTACTTAACGAACAGCGCTCCCCAGCCCCTCTCAAGTCAGTAAAAGGCTTTGTTCTGCTGGGTTCCTCATTAGCTTCTGAAATAAACATTGACGTTACCTTTGCCCTGCTTAGCAGTTCTGCAATTAGTCTAATGGACTGAAGATTTCTCTGAGCTAACAGGAGCTTCCTTTCTTCTAACTTTATCTTCTCTTGCAGTTTTTTCTGTTCTTCAGCTTGAAGCTTTTCAAGTTGCTTTTTGTTTCGTCGAACTTCACGATCCTTCTGTTTCTGTTCTCTCTTGCGCAACTTTTCTTCTCTTTTTCTCTCTCTCTCATATTCTTCAAGCTCTCTCTGCTTCCTAAAAAGAGATTAACATTTTTACCTTATCTAGGGCACGTACAATCCTGGTCTCCTACTCTACGTAAAAATGTATTTTGTACTTTGAGGAAATTTGTTTCTAAGTCAGTCTTGTTGATTACTGAAAGAACAGAAGTAGAAAACATTAGTTGTGATTGCAAACCATCATCAGCCTGTGAATATTTAAAACCAAGTTGGAATCCAAACATAAAACACGGCAACAACAAAAATTTTTTTTTTTTTTTCAACCAATTCAACCAGGGACAATAGCAATGCATCAGGCAGCCGGGAAGTCAGTCATCATAGTGAGAAGGAAACTGCCAAGCCAATTAACGCGAGCAGGGGCTGGTGGGTTTTATTTCAGTCATTAGGGCAAAATGGTACCTCATGTAAAAGGCCGAGGGTTTCCGAGATCAGCTGTCTAATGGTACGGTTTTTAGGAAACTGAGTATTTTGCAGCTCTAATATTTTGAACTGAACACAAGCATTAGTGATGACCTAAATAACCTTACAGTTTCAGAAACTGCCTAATATCTAAACATTAAACAATGAGAATTCACACTCATCAAGGCAAAGGGACACCATACAACCTCTGAAACAATTTGCTCCCTATCTGTTTATATTCTGAATAGATGCACCCCCACACGTTTTCTTAAAATATCACCATTAAGATACACTTGTATCCCATTCCTTTGCTGGAAAAAATAATTACATTAAGAACAAATGAGCTTTACAATATCAAAGTTACTCAGTAGTAGAACTACTGCATTATTTTCTACTCTCAAATTACAACGTACATTTTTCCATTAGAACAGCTACACAGCAGGGAAGTTCCCAGCTCTTGGAATTACAGTTCAAGAAAAAAATAAAAGGTGTAAAACACTCTTCTCCAAACCTCATTATCCCTAAACACTATTTCCTCAAAAGGAATGCCAGGGCCAAGATTTTCTTGTATTTTCCATTTTAAGCCTGTTTGGTTTAAACTATGTAGTTTAGTCTTTGAGAATTATTTGATCTTATACCCTCTGTCTGTAGTTTACACTGTTTGCTGGAGAACAATATTTTTACCAGTTAGGATATAAGGAACTTTATCATGTGTTTGTGTCAAGGGAGAACAGTTTGTGTGATCTTTGGTGTCTGGAAGAGACAGATGTACAGACACATGTAAATAACAGGAACTTGGAAAAACACCC